CTTCAAAGTCGTATCTGACTCCATCTGTCAATAAATAATCTCATTTCCAAAACATACTTTGCCTCAAGATTTTAGTATAAATGAATGTTGGTTCAGATGCCACATAATGGAGATGGGTGGCTACACTGCTGCTGCTGAGACTTGTCCGGCTACTGTGCTGTACAGTCGGAAAGTGAACAGCAAGAGGACAGAGGGAGGATTGAAAACAGGAAACATGGCTGTTTGTGAATCCATTGGCACTGTAATGCTGAGGTGCAGTAGTGGAGGCCTGGTCATTGTGGCTGACCCACTGGGGGTGGAGGTAGTGGTGGGGGTGGTGTTAGTGGGGGGGGTGGGGGGGGGCGGTACAGGCGCTCAGTCAGGTTTCCTGTCTTGGCACACCCTGCACTGGCCATTTCCTGCTTGCCTGCTGAAAAATGCCCAGCACCACCGCCGCACCCCCCTCAGCTAAAATCCTTGCTCAGTGAACCCAGACAGGCAGCGGCTGAGACAGTCAGTCAGGCCGAACATTTCATTCTTGCTACAGCTCTCACATTTCCTGCCAGATGCTTCCAGGTGTCTTTCAAGGAAAAACTGTGGTTTATAAAAACTTTTTTTTCACAGCTCTGTCTAGCATTTATTTAAAAAAAAAAAAAAAAAAAAACTTTGCCAGAGTAACTGCTGAGATGTTGGAACAATGTGACATTGCTTAAAATATGGGCCAACAAACATGACAGTCAGATAATAATACCTGTAAACAAGCCATGCAATGAAAATGCTCTGACACTGATGAGAGCAGTGAGCGCTGCAGGGCACAGAACCAAAACGATGGGCTGAAAGAGGCTAAAAGACTCCATAGAGCTGGATGGAAATGCTGAGACAGTCAGGTGACAATTTCCTGCGGTTTGTCACTGCGGGCAACCACTTTCACATGCACATAGATCCATTTGTTCGTATAAAACGTTAGATTGTAACAGCTTTAATGTCTTTTAAAGTTTAGCTCAAGGTTTGTTTACACTTGTGAGCTACACAGGCACAAAAGCATCATCAGTTGAGTAACTGACCAGCTGGGGCTTTATTTTCAGTGTTCCTTGTATACTTTTATGATATTTGGCTAAAGGAACGCTTCACAAACTAAAAATACATTTGCTTGACAACCGTACAACTCCCCTAATGGTTCAATATGCAAGAATGAAAATAAACATTTGAAACCGAAAGCTAGCCTAACCACGGTGCATTTCACACAAACACACACCCTCCCTCACCACATGTTACACCAGCATGAAAGGCCATTTTTTGCAAATGCTTTCAAGAATCAGATAATAAATGGAAAAGCATTTTGGGCCCAAACATTTTTCCAAAAGTAACTCCACCCAATTCAAAAGGTCGCTCCTCTGAACAGAGCCCTCTGTGTTGCTTGTTTAAGGACCTTTTTACGTGTTGCATCTGACATGAACATCCGCTCCCATACAACAGTCACTCCACACCTCTTGAGAAAGAGGCTGGCTGGCACTGAGGAGAGGAAGGTAGTGGAAAAGATGGCCTTTTTTAGAATAGCTATTTTTCCTGTGTATTTGAATGCACACACAGGGAAAGACCCAGCTGTGAGAAGGGAAAATTACAAACTCACAGACATGACGTTATGGAGGCTTCACTGGAGGGAACTGAGGCAGTCTGGATACTGATCTGCACCATTATCAACACAGTGAATAGAATCTGCATCGCAATTAACAATTCTGTTCATATGCGATGGTGAAACCACGCTTCAGTGTTGCCTCAGCATCTATCAACCTAATCATGATCAACAACATCAAAGCTGATGGGCTCACATGATTTGCTGGACAAGTACAAGCCTCTCAGACTGTAAGTGGGAGCTTGTTTTCCACAGAATGCACCGAGCATCTTCTATCCCATTCATAACAGGGCATTTGGTGATGCAGATAAGCCCAATGGGATGACGCCGTCTCTTAAGAGCCCATTAAAAAGCATGAAAACACAGGATATTTGGAGTGTGTGACCTCAGAGCACCAGGCTTCTGTTCCTGAGGGCAGAGGTGGAGGGCAGCAGCTGGTTAAAGACACACACACACACGCACACACACGCACGCACACACACAGATATATGCTGAAGGCCGGGTTCCAGCATAATTAAACTCTCAGATCCTACACCCCTTTGGCAGGTTTATGAGCCTCTCCTAATAAGTTGGCTTTCTGCAGCCTTGTGTGAAGGAGCCTCAGCTCTGAAGCTCAGCTTCCTGCAGGAATGGTGATGTCACAAAGATGCATTATAAAAGAAACATCTGTGCAGCTCAGTGAGGCTCTCCAGCCCACTTGCTCGTTACTCCCCAACACTGAACATGCATGAACATCACAGAATATGCCTGTGTGTGTGGGTGTATTTTCCTGAAGGACTTGATGATGGCTTGTGTGGTGATCTGACACCAATTAATCCACCCCACAACTGTAAAACTGCTGCACCAAACTCACTGTTTATGTCACGGTCCATTTGACTGGCAACTGCAGCTCAATTTGTTACATTTGTTCAAGAAAACTTTTGATGTGTTTCCTTAAAGACTTTCTTTTATTTGGATGCAAAAACAGGTTTCATTCAGGGAGGAGAGAGTTTACTCCTTTGTACATACATGTGCTTTAAAATTTAGGTACAATTTAAGGCATCTGAGATATAACCTCTGCTATGTAACGAGCCATATCTAAAAATAAGACTAGGAGTTCATAAAAATAATTACTTTAGCTATAAAAATGCACTTTTGTTTACAGCTGCGACTATAATGTTTATTTTCAGTATCAATTCATCTGCAGATTATTTTCTTGATTAAAATTGTCATAAATAGTATATTTAAGATTTTCTGATATTTACAAAAAGTCAAATTTTCACTGATGTTTTCACAGTTAGAATGAGCATATAGATGGCAAAAGAGACAACCAAGGCCATAGTGGTCTGAGGTGGATAGCATGTTATCACCACAACCCCATTAGGATTCAGGCTGGTGACCTTTGTTGCATGTCATCAGCTATCATTCCTATCACACCTTCCTGAGGTTTCTTCTTTATCTACACTGTGAACTAACATATAAAACACTAAAATACCCTCCAAATGTGGAATGAAAATATCTGTTACATGTCTACATTACAGATGAAGAAATTATTCCTGACACTTGGACACAGAGTCAGAAATAAATCAGGATTGGCTCTAACTGACTTTTTTAAAGACCTGCACAAACACCTGGTCTCAAAGGGAAACTATTCCCAGTCCCAAACAGAGTAGAAGTCCAAAATCGACACACAAAGCTAATGCAGTAAAATAACATAAAAATATCAGCATCACATCAGTCAGAATGACATTGAATTATCTGATATTGTTGAAAAATTTCAACATCATCATGCATCTGTAATACAAAACGTTCTCTAAATTTTACACTATCAAATTCCCTTTTGGGTCCATGAAGCTCTGCTGTGCTACTGGACTTTGTTTTCATACCGCTGTGCCTCGCTACATGCCGAAAAGCCAAAACATAGTGGCAGAAAAAGAAGGCAGTCAACCACAGAGAACAGCCTTGAGGAGTTCTGTTTCCCGCTGACACCAACAGGTTTGTCTGAAATAATCTGTAAAGTGCAACTGAATGGAGATCCTCTGGAGGAGAATTTCCATCTCTACACCTACGCCATGTCTGCGCCTTCATGCTCCGACTGACTTCATGTGGGCAACTCAGATTTATTTCAGACCACAGAGTGATTTTCCTGTTTCAGTATCAAAAGAAACTGTGTGGATCTTGTGCCTCTTTACACCATCTATGTGTGCTATTTCTTTTATTGCTCCTTGAAGCATTTCCTCCACAAACTCCTCAAGACTATTCCTTTGCTGGGGATCTTTGGAAAAAGGACTCTGGGTGTCCTTTCATGTCACCCACCCTCCCCCACACCTATACAAGGGCTAAAAGTACACCCATCCATCCATGTTGGCAGTGAAAGGCCGGTCTTGTTGCCTTGGCTTATGTGCACCTGCTCCAGTACACTCTGGACACTTAGTCTGCCTGTTAGCCTCTAGCGCATCATTCACAGCACTGTGACTCAAAGGAAAATAAAATCACACAAGAGTCTGTTTGTTCGAATGTGTGATAAAGTCCACATTGTTCAACAGTTTTTACTGACCTGCTTGTGATAATATACCAGCTCACTTAACTTTACCTTCATACCTGGTGTCTCTTTAATATGTGTAATACAGTGATAGTCACACATCCGCACACTGTTGGCCTATGGGTTCGTCTCTCACAGACATCAATACAAACAGTAATTGACATTCATGGCACATTTAAGCTGCTGAACTTTTTCCACTAACCTGCGGCTGGAGACTTAGCCAAGTGAAAAATAGAAAGCTGGGGCCAACAGAGGAGCACATCTCAAACACTTTCATGTCTTGGACCCCAAAATAGACCCCAGTTAAAGCTGCACAACCTCATGTGTTACTGCTCTGTCAATAATAAAGGATGGCCGTGGTTGCAGTTGGTTTATTAGAAATATTGTGCCCACAGAGTCACTGAAGGGAAACTTGAGAGCCGCGAGTCTTTTCCTGATTGTTTCCACTAAATAAAACTGGATTCAAACTGTAGCTGGGACCCAGGGGACCCCCTCTTCAAGGACCCTGTGTCCCAGTTTGCAAACCACTGGAATAAACGCTGGAGAGACTGTCTGCTCAGACCTTCATGGCTACTTCTCCACAACAAAAACCAAACTTCCCACGGCCACATTTAGCTACAATATATCGCCAGACAAACACAAGTCCCTGCATGCACTGAGCATAACTTGCATGTATTCACGCAAACAGCACCGGTGTGCGTGCGTGTGTCTGTTTGAGTGTGTGTGCAACAGGACTTCTTGGACACCGACACCACCCCCACCTCAAAAAAAAAAAAAAAACATGCAGACCCTCGAATGTATCTGTTGCCTTGGGTGATTTTTTTCCTTCTTAAAATAAAGAAAACAAATCGGTTGATGAGCACTTACAATTTTACTGAGATCCATGATCGTCCAAGCAGAAACGGTGAGTGTGGATCCTCGGAGCCGAAGAGGAGATCCGCTGGCTTTATCCTAACGCGGAGTAATTAGTAACGGGAAAGCGATTGAGGCAACAAATGCATTTGGGAGGAGAAGAAGGGGTGGAGGGGGGAGGTGGAGTGGGCCGTTAGCTCAACATGTGTCCCGATTTGGTATTAAAATGCTCCCCTATCCTTCCTTCCTTCCTTCCGCGTCCTTTCTCCTTTCTCTGCGAGCCCTACGTGCTCCCTTATCGGCGAGGACTTCCAGCATCCGACCGCCGAGGAGCCGAAGCTGTCCGGGAGGAAAAACACAAGAAGAGGACTACCGCTGATAATACCTGCTCATTTCACCGCTGCCTCACATTAAAACCACCCCGCTTATGTGTATATGTATCAGCCCACATAGCGGCTAAGACCGAGACAGGAGGATACCTTTATTTTGCAAATAGCCCGCTCTCTTGGTAGACAATAGTAGCATGGAGCCTGCAGAGTGGGACGGCTCAAACCCGGTGGTTTCCAAGCTGGGGTCCGAGGACCGCCAGGGGTCCTGTAAGAGGGGAGGTGAAAGGGGGGTGGGGGGAGATCCAGGAAATAAGAAAACAGCTGAATCTCCACTGATGTTCCATTCATTACGAGTTAGTACAGATAGTGTGAGCTAGTGCTGCAACTTATGATTTTTCATTAGCCTTTCAATTAATGTCATTTTTAAAAAATCTTAATTGATTAATCGCTTAAAATATGATCTTGTCCTGGAGATCCAAGGCGGTGTCTACAAATGTCTTGTTTTGTCCTTACAAAGGAACTGAGAATTGGCAGTTCTTGCGTGGGTAAAAAAAGACATTTAGTTGATAATCAAAATATAAATGTTAGTTAATTTTTGATCAATCAGCTGATCGATTGACTAACTAATCATTCAAACAGTGCAATCATCAAATGATTTTATTTTAATGAAAAGGGGTGGGGACCCATCCACCTCCTCTGAATCCTGCTCACTGTGCTAACAGTAACAACACATACACACATAAATCACTAAAATACATTGTAGAACATGGTATCGATAATTTTGTAAGTAGTTGGTGAGATGAAAAGACGGTTTAAGATGCAAATTATATTGAGGTCTTATTTTTGATTGTGAGCAGTGTTACTGTATTCTTATAAAAACACATGAAGCCTTGAATAGAACAACTTTCAATGGGGAAAAAGCTCAGTGTTCACCATGAGAGCAACTCTAGGTAACTGATGCCCCCATCTGGTTTCTCCGAGATTGCCTGTCCTCAAGGCAATACAGTTGTGTTGTGGCATGTGTTTGTGTGTGTGTGTGTGTGTGTGTGTGTATGAAAGAGGCAGCCTTGGATATAAAATGCTATGGGAGTTTTAGAATAAGGCTGAGGACTGTTGCATCTTACTGGGACACTTAAAACAACAGAGCCATCATCAGTGTTATTAGAAACACCTGTGACTGTTCTGTCTGCCTACTGAAAAATATAGTTTTTACAAGAACTGACCATTGTAAGCTTTGTAAATGTAGAATGTGTGGCACACCTGTTGTACTGGATTGCATTAGATTGTATAGGTGTACATAATGAAGTGGCAAGGGACTATATATTCCAGTCAATTAGAACTAAACTGATGTGTAATATACTGTATTTGTTACAGCAGAAATTTGGTACATTATGTGTTAAAACGTTAAGAGTAGTAATAATATGAATTATTCATATAGATTATTAAATCAAGGATTATATGCTTTGAAAAAACACGTCCATCTTTTTACTAATGTAAATTGTTTTGTTAACAGACGACAACAATGCTACTTTTGTCATGTAGTCCATCCACAAGCAATCAGCTCAAAAGATCCATTTTTAAATCCAGGCTACTGTTTAAAAAGGCTTCTCTATACAATCACAGGACATCAGCTGACCACCCGAGGCCAGGCCAGCCACAATAATCAATATGCTACTCATTACACCATCGGGGCAGCACGTTATACCTCCAGGCTGCACAGCATAAACTGTCTGTCTCCAGACAATGCCGGCTCTTTTCCAACAAGTCTCTTCACTTCCTGGTACGGCGTGGGCCCTTCGCCCAGGGCAGCCTCACACAGCATTTCTCACATACAAAAGTCCCACTCAGTCACTGCCTGGGTTTTCACTCGGCCACTGAAAAACTCTTGCCCTTTATATAAAGTCCGCCCACCTGGAATAAAGGGCATTTTTGAGTTCCACTTCCCGTCATAACCCAGGTGTATAAAACAACTGTTCTCTCAAAATAGACAAACAGGTGAAAACTGATGCTGATAAGTGATTATTCTAATCCTGTACATGATGGAAAGTGCAATTTAATACAAGCAGATTGTTTGTTTTGTGATCTCATTGTCTATCAGTGTCATCTCTTGTGAGTCATGTTTTCATTCCAATCAATTCCCTGAAATCGATTACGACATTAATGATAAGGATAAGGAGTGAAAATTATACATCAGGTTATTGTGACTCATGCAGATGAAATTCCAACTAACCAAAAAACACATGAAGTGCCTGAGACAAAAAAACGTATTAATCAAACACCACAAACTTTGCATAATGCTGATGTCACATACTCCAAATTCCTTAGTATATTTAAACATTTAAGTCTTAAAGTCCTGTTAAAAACTGAAGCCTGTCAACACCGAAACAAAAATTAAACATATGCAGATTCCTAACTGTAGAATGACCGATTTAGTGCACATACACTTTTTCTGTGAGGTATTACTACAAAAAGGTAGTTGTTGTAATAACACTGATTCACATAAACATCCTTTGAATCACTTCCGTTAAGTTGTGAAGCCAAAACTTGGTCTGTGTTGAGCCAACAGGCTAAATCCAGAGCGCAGGGGTTAAAGTCCTCTAACGTAGTTGTCTCTTCCAGCGACTCAAGGCTGACTCTGAGGTTACGACATGGTTATGACTTTATGTCTCTGCGTGGAAAATGCCAACAGAGCTGACTGAGCATGCTGTTCAACGCTTGGCGTTTGTGCCGTGTACATATACAGGTCAAATGATGACTAGCTGCTCATGCATTATTCATAAAGGAAGTTCTTCAGTAAGACTGAAACTTAAGTCTTCATCATCTGTGTGTGTGCGCCATAGGAGCCCATAATAAATTAACTTACGGTTTCAGGCTCAGGCATCTATCAGACTATAAGATTACAGAAGGCGAATTTCTGCATGTGCCCTTTGCGATTATTTTAGCCATACATAAACTTTCACTTATCCTGACATGTTTACATAACAGCAATCCATGTGAGATGGCATGGTCAGCTCTCAGGCTGGGCAATAATTCAATTCAATTGTTGTTTATCAACTTGTAGTGGAAGGATAACCCAGCCTTAGTCCGTGCAGGATGTATTTTGTCACATAGCTGACGACTGTATTGGATGATCATTTGAAATGAGGCCTCTCATGTTGAAGTAGGTTAATTTGCATACCACACACTTACACCGAGGATGTAGGTTTCAGACTGACTTTTGACCTCTGCTGCACGAGAAACAAAAAACAACTCTCCATCTCTGCCTCTCTCTCTTTCCGCTTTACTGTGCCATAAAACATAGAAGAGATCGCCAAAACAATCTGTAAATCAAAGCCATTGTTAATGCCGCCAGGAACTCATCGGTGCACTTTGTTCCACTTACTGACCTGTCACTCATGTCCAGCTCTATTATTCTACAGCCAGTCAGTGCAATGAGGCCACAAACCACCGCCTGCTGTTTCTGCTGCCTCAGTGCTTTTAATGGTCTCGCTTTCATGCCTGCATGCTCGTCTGTGTGTGTGCTGCATGTATGCGGATATCCCTTCCTAACTTCCCAGCATTTTAAATTGCAGGATGTAAAAGAAGGCGAGGAAGACTCAAGACAATGAGCGTTGGAGGGGAGAACAACAAGGCAAAGAGAAAGACAAAGGACGGAGGAGAAAGAGAGGCAAGAGAGACAGGGTGATTAAAAAAATGCTTGTCTACGTTCGCACTGCTGAGTCCTGACTGTGCCCGAGGGCCACAGCCCCGCTCCTCCCCTGAATTCCACAGCTGCCGGGGCACCAAACAGCACCACGGCAGGGTGCAGGGGGATGAGGGGTGTCCATTAGAGCAGGTCCACACATACTGTACACCAGTGACTCACAACCAGGGGTGCTTGTGGCGAGGATTTGGAGTAACTCAACTAATTTGACAAACTGAAATTAGTCTTTGATTCTAAAAACATGAGAGGACGTAAAAAACTAGTTAGCAGGCGAGCACAGCAGGTGGAACAGATAACTAAGAAATAGATAGTGGATAAACAGTTGAAACAGTTAGCTGTTAGCTAATAGTAATGGATAAATGGTTGAAATTGTTAGCTGTAATTAAAACATAAATGGCTTAAACAAAGAACAAGTGTTGAAAGTAATGGAGATCTTAAAGTAACGGATAATGTTAAAGGATTTAAATAGATAGCTTAAAGTAATACATAAATAGAAGAAACGACCAGCTTGTGCTACAAGTGGCCAATCAGTATGAATTCAAACTTGACCAAACAGACATGGCGGGTGATGTCAGAGAAGGGGTACTTCACAGGTACTTCAGCTCATCTGTAAGGATGTGGTGGTATTTTGCTCGGGAGTCACTGCTGTACACGGTCACACTAACAGCCAAACACACATGCACTTAAATACACATACAAACATGAGTGACCTCACAGGCGGGCAAGTAAAGAGGAAATGAGGAGGAGGCTGGCAGGCAGTCTAATTTTAAGGCCTTAATTTGGTAACATAAAGTGTGGTGTCAACCTCCATGTCCCAGCTGAGGAACTGGTGCCCCAGATGTTCTATACAAGCACCAATTGTGGTTCCTATTGGTCCAGAGATTACTACCTACACCAGCTTTCAAATGAGAAACCTCTTCTGGCCCCTGACAGCTCAGAGACGGTTTAAAATCTAGGAGAGAGTTGACATCTCTGGCATTTTGTAGCCTTAAGATAAAGATTATAAAATATGTAGCGTTCAGTGCTAACTATTTACTTGTTGGTTTTCTCATTGCCGTTGAGAACACCACAGTACACCGAAACATGCAATGATGCCGAGACAAACACACCGAAGATGAAATCCCGCCTAAACTCTAAATTAAAGAGTCAGCTGCTATTATGAGGCTAAACATGTCATTAAAAGCAAGCTCTGTGTGCTATGTGGCTGCCCTGGTTCATTCTTTTTATAACCCTGTGTGGACACTATGTCAGAGAGGCTTTTGAACACACCCTGGTTGTTTATCCAACTTGGCGGAGAGAGATAGGCGAGCACTTCTCAGAATCAGTGTTTTACACAACTATGCCTTTAAAGTCAAAGCAGGAGACGCTGCTGTGTGTAGGGCTGCACACTGCTCATATTCATATGAATGAAACTGTAGAGCATTGAATTCAGGTTACATGTTGAATG